TTGGAGACATAGGACTTACATGATCATAAGAAACCTGTGTAAATGAGGATCTAAGGCCTGTTCCCTGACCCATAAACCAGGTTAGTCATCAGTTGTTCCTGCAGTTTGTTGTTGTCATCGCAAAACCCGAGGTTAGGCTGAGGACTATTTACAAATCACGTGCATTAGCAATACAGGATATCTAAACATACACTTACTGTGTGACAGAGCATTAGTTGCTCCTTATAATAATACCTGAGAGCCTGCAGTCACAACAGAGGTCATGTCATGCGAGGTACTGTGGCAGTGCTTTTTAGCTTAGTACCTTCCCAAAGGGGTTTACAGCTGAAGGTCCCAAATCTACAGCTGAATCTGCTAGGTGGAACTCCTTCACTGCTCCGTTGCAGGACGAGGACCTATGGTGTATGGGCAGGGGGATACCTTATTCTGTAATTTTTTTATATGCATATATGCTTCATTAATAAGATAGAGGGTAAAATTTGCCTGATAGCTTGGCTATATTAGAACTGAATAGAAATAAAGCCTGTTTTTAGAACTATCCGGGTTCCTGTTGCTGCACTATAAATCTCTGCAGATTCTGGATTTCAGTAATGAGAGAAAACAGAATTAACTAGTGAGAAATAAAAAATGTCAGCCTCCTGACTGAGAAATCCTACAGTGCAAGACAGGAGTACTAGTGAAATGTTTCCTCTGGCTGTAGGGGAAGAGAGAAAGAAGTACATTTGTAATTGTTGCAGGTAATTAGGCTCCGTCTTGGTTGCCTGGTCAAGGCAGACCCAAAACTGCTTGTAGGATTAGATTTGCTCACTTTCCTTGAGCAAATTGTTACCTTGTAAGTGATATGACAGCAGAGCATCCTTCAAGAGTAAGGGACCCCTCTGCACCCACAGATGTATGATGGGTCAGGACACTGTCAGACTTGCTCATGGCAGGCTAAGAACTTCATGAAGTAGCCATGTAGGTAAAAGGCAGATGCAAGATAAAACACTATCACAGTCACTGCTACACTGAGGATACTCTTATATTGCTTTATAAATGCTCCAAAAAGTTTTGGAACAACCTGTGGAATTAGTGAAAGCTGAAAATCTTTAGAAACAACTTTGTAAGTCTTCATCTTACTCTCAAAAAAGCCAGTGGGTATTTGAATGTTTAGTTCCTCAGGCTCTAAGTATGAAAGGAAAAAGCCCCTAAAATATCTTCATAGGTAGTCCCTATAAAAGAACAAGATTCAAAAGCATTCCTTCAGGAGATCAAGGACGGTCCAGCCTTTGAAGCCTGGAGGATTGGGAAATTTAAAGATCTTTGTGGCAATCATATTGTGCCATTAGAAATCTACCATTTGGAATTGTAAAGCATTTAAAAGGAATGATTCCAAATTCCACAGCTGTCTGGTGAGTGACAACTTGATGTGGCCTGGGGGGGAGGAAGAAGGTCATTGTTGGGAAAACAGCTAAAATGAACATTTTCTGAACAGATGCTTTAGATAATACTTTGATAAATGAGGTTTAAAACAAATAAAATATTCTGGGTGACTTCCAGAAAATAATACATTAGTAAAACAAACAAACTCCAAAATGCAAAGACAAGAAACAGGTATATGGCTGGTACTTAGCAAATCACAGAGGACTGTTCAAAATAAAATGAACAATAGACAGAGTGCGAATCAGCAAGATGAGACAATTCTGCTGGCTTTGGGAGGTGACAGATATTTTTTATTGCACCGGTTTTGCCAAGCAAGAGAGCTTCTGGAAGGCAAGGCTGCTCATTTTGATACACTAAAATATTTGAGAATCCCTTTTTATTGCCTGTTTTTTCTCTTAACCATTCAAGCAGCTCAGCTGCTGATCAAAATACAAAAGCATTGCATGTGTCTAGCAAGTGGATAATGAAAGCGATTCCCCCAGTTTAGTATCTTTGTCAGCGGAGTGTAACGAGAAAAGTAAACAAACAGCATCACTGGTTACAAACTGATTTATGGAATTGTTTTCGTAATTTTCAGCATAATTATGACTGAAGGTCCTGATGTTGTGGCTGCTGAGAACCTTGTAGGGATCTGGGTGCCCTTAGTACTCATTAAAAGCTCCTTGTAGATGGGATTTGGAAGCACACAGGGTAAGGTCTGTTGGGATTATTTTTAAGGGAAGGTTTTTCCTTGCCCTTTAACAGAATCCATACCAAATAGCTGCTAAACCTGATTTCTTCTGGCAGACCTTTTATGGGTAAAACTAAATCAATATGTATAATTCGGGATAAAAAAAGAGAAAATTTACCCACAAATTCAGCATAACCTTTTAATTTTATCCCCTTTAATCCTTCGATAATTTTTGTGCTTCTCCTGCAGAAAAGCAATTTTGCTAATCACCTTTGTGCCAATCCCTGCATTCCTGACAATAGCGTGAACAGCTTCCATCAAAGTCTTTGATGTGGGAAAGACACACACACACATATAATCTGAAAACAATTCGGCTCCTTGGCTCTCAATGGTGAGCACTCTGCTTTAATAGAGTGCAAGTTCCGTGGAGGTTTCTAATCCTTTCTGCCAAACAGAAGAGACACAGTCAGGTAGCACACCTTATTCAGAAAGTTAAAATAACATGTTACTTGCTCTCAGAGAAAATCAAAACAACTCAAGATCAAAAACAGATTCCGCCAACCCTAACGGGATAGACTTTCTACTCAGGTAACTCTTGATCTAAGTGTGTAACAAGTAACCTGCTTTAATCCCTCAAAGCGATGGTGTTACAGATAAGTACTGTAGTAGCAGAGGAGGTGTCTTAAGTTTCAGAAATACACAAAAGCATTGGTTGGAAGGAAAAACAAAACAAAGAGCTGTCCACATGATTGTGTCTTTAGCTGGAAAGGTGTATTTGAGGGCACTGCAAATAATAAAACCCCTTGAAGACAGGAAAAAAAATAAAAATTGACAGACAGGTATTGAAATGGTGTTTCTTCTGAGCAGGATTTCATTGACTTACACTGTTAAAGCACAAACTTCAGAGGTAAAAGCTCCCCCCAGTTTTTAGCTTAGAAACCTTGCAAGCCATGATACTGGAAGGGTCTACTACGGCAGCACAGAACCCTACCCCATTTTATAAAGGCTCAGAGTGGTTGTGGGCCATGAAGAGATTGGGATCTTTTACTGCAAGATTTGGGAAGGTTACATTATTGATTTTATGATTATACAGCAGCGAGCTCTTGCACTGAGTCCTTTATTAAGAGTATGAACAACGTAATGGAAATAATCATGCTACACATACAGTTTCAGTAATGGTTCAGAATCTTCCTTGGTTCTTTCTCTTGCAGACACCTACACATGCACTTACTTTGGCATTGCTGGGAAGGCTATTGGGTTCTTAGCCTGTGATGCAGAGCTTTGAAAGCTCCACAGCAATAACAGTAGCTGAACCCATGCCTGGGAAGTGTATGCAGTTCCAGGTCCATTTCTCTTTAAAAAAGGGAAAAAAAACCACAACAAACCCCAAACCAAAAACCTAAGAAAATAATGGCATCTGTGTTTTGGACAAAGAATAATTACTGTTACTATATTGTAAGGCAATTATTCACTTTAGAAAACAATGATACATTTAAGTGCAACTTATCATAATTCTTCTTCACATTGATCTGTGTCCCCTGTATGGACCATATTTGACCCTCCCTGTGATTACTGCATGCAAACACACATTTCGTCTTAGTCAGGTATTTCACAGTTGTTTATACCTTGTTTATACAAATTGGAGAGCCTTAAGGCCCCACTTCTACAAACGCACTTGTCCACACTTTAGTCCTAGTGTTCCAGAGGATCACCCTCTATGTGTTACTTTGCACCTAAGTTCCTTCTGGACTACACCAAGGAGTTTCCTTGGTAAAGTGGCACAGCCATAGTCTGGAAACTGGTGTACACTGGAATATGGGAATCACACACTGCAGCGCAACACACGCTATGCAGACGTTGGCTCTGTAGAGTAGCAGAGCCTAAGACCAGAAGGAACCCCTTTGATTGTCTTAGTCCGATATCCTAAGTTAGGATTCACCAGGTCAATTCCTGGTTTATGATTTAGCATTGTGGTCTTGCTAGGCTCTCCCTCTAAGGGAAAATATTCCCAACCAACCAACAAAAAGGCTGGTATTGTTTGTTTTTAATCCAGTAATGGTGAATCTACCATAAATCTTGATAAACTGTTTCAACAGTTAATTTTCTTCACTACAAAAGCATGCTTTATTTATGAATTTGTTTCCCATCGCCTTCTGTCAAGAGATGTTATCTCTTTGTCTGCTAAACAGAAGATCCTGGTATTACCAGATTTTTCTTCCTGTTTCAGTGCTCATAAGGTATGATCACCTCACACCTTAACCTTCTCTTTAGAAAGCTAAACAGACTGAGCACTTTGGGTCTCACTATAAAACATGTTTGACAGTCCTGTAATCATTCTTACCACTCTTCTTTGAAACCCCTCTAGTTTTTCAACATCCTTCTTGAAACGTTGGCTGGACAAATTATTTCCAAAGCAGTCACAACAGAGTCAAAACCAGAGGTGAAAGAACCTCCTGGCTCTTGTTTGTTTCCCAGGACAGCACTAGCCCTTTGGTCACAGCACTGCAGAAGGAGCTCACGTTCAGCTGATTATTCATCTTAATGAAGTCTTTACGGAATTGCAGCTTTGCAGGATAGAGTTACGTCCTTTCAGGGTGACCTACATTCTTTGTTCCTAGATGTGAGCCTTTACATTTGGCTTGACTGAAATACATATGATTTGATTATGCTTAAACTTAACATAGGGTTATGCAGCCACAAGCATCCTTTGCCTCTTGCCCCATGCTTTGTGCCTTCTACAAAGCTTTGTTAATAATGATTTCTGATTTTTTTTTCAGGTTGCTAGTAAGAATATGTGTATTTTTAAATGCTAGTGTAGGGTCCATAAGCTGTCTCCATGGGATTCTACTAGAGAAAGACCAACTTGGTAATAAATCTGTCTTTACAGTAACAACTGAAGATGGAGAAGTTATTCACATTTTAATAATTTAATGTTTCAGAAATTGCTGAAGTCTATTACAAAAGAGTTTAATGTCATCAAAAAGATATTAAGTTAATACAAAACTGCATTCATACCAAGTTTCCATAATCTCATGTTAAGCAAAATTTGTTATATTACCTCTTTTTCAGCTGGCTACTTAAGTTGTGTACCAGATGTGCTGTTACTTCACCTGAGCTCAAATTTAGGTTGAGAAATTTTTAATTACTTGGGCCACCTGATTCACTCATCATAAATGCTGATAGAGCATTTGCTGCCTTCTGGAACTTCCCTGACTTCCAGGGTGTATTGAAACTTGGTGTAAATGGACCACAGCTCCTCAGACAGCAGTTTTGAATCTCTCAAACATGAAGCTTCCCGAGTTGGTGATTTTTATGAATATTTGAGTGCTTGAGATTACATAGACAAGATGACCTTCTGGAAAGGATGCAAGTACTGTCTAAAGGCCTGTATGCTATGGTAACCTCATTATATACTCAGATTTATTTTCCTACTCCACTGCGCAAAAGCAGATGCAGACTGCAGTGGGTAAGTGATACCTGTTCAAAGCATTCTAAGCAGATGATGAACTTATAATTTATCTATTTTTTTAATTTTGAGGGAGAAATTTCCCCAAGCATTTCAAGCTTTTGTAGAGTGGAAAGTACTGTAAGAATGAACAACACAACAGTACTCATATTTTCCTGTTCCACTATCTGTGAAGGGCTACTTTGCCATTTTGGACCAGAATCCTTCTGTGTTGTCAGTACTCCAGGCTCCTGTGGATGGCAACAATGACTCAGTTATTATGAACTGTTCTTTGGGAGGCTGTGCTTGTATATATGTACCCAAACGTGTGAAGTGAGAGCACTTTTCAGATCCTGTCACAGGGAGCCCTGGAAAGCCGAACTGACTGTGTCAAAAGGTACCTGTGAAAAGACAGCCTTAAATCCACTGTAGCAGGGCCTGCCCTTACGTAGGGATACGTGGCCCAGGAATCTGGGAGTGTTTAAAACTGCTGTGCAGCACCAGATGACCCCTGCTGTCACTCTGTGGGTGACAGGCACTCCCGACTGCTTAAGGATAATTAATGAGCATTAATCACCCTGCAGTTCCCCTTCGCAGGAAAGGGTGTAGTGTCTACTAGGGTCGCTCCAGGTGGTGGAGCAGATGCTCTGGTTACCTGCGATCATCGTACTCACCATCGATTATTCACGTTACTAATGAACACGTGGATCAGGCGATGTTACTAATCCCAGCTCGGAAGAATACGGACCCGAGTGCCGGATGCTGCGGGGAGGACATTTGGGCAGGGAGAATCCCAGCGGCTCCCGTTAACGAATTAATTCTCTAACGAGGGTGGGCTCGGCAGCCCTGTGCCCCCTCCCGCCCCGGTAGCCGTCTCCTCCCCCGGAGGGGGGGAGTGACAGCAGCGGCTCCTGCCCCATGTGACTGGGGAGCGGCTGCCCCGTCCATGGCTTGGCCTCCCCCGGGCAGCAGCAGCTCCGGCTCCCGGGGAGGAGGGGCAGGAGCTGCTGCTCCATGGGGAGGAAGGGCAGCCCCCGATCCCCCCAGTCGGAGGGGGGATCCCGGGCCTCCTCCCCCTCCTCCCCGCTTTGGGCCTTACCCGAGGAGCTGCTGCTCCTCATCTGCTCCTACCTGGACGCGCAGGCCTTGGGCCGCCTGGGCCAAGTCTGCCGCCGCCTGTGCTTCCTCAGTAGCCGCGATCTCCTCTGGAGGCGCATAGCCCGTGGCTGCCTCAACTCCGGCTTCACCCAGCTCGGCACCGACCTGTAAGCGCGGCCTTCCCGGCGGAAGGGCGGGGGGAGGCGGCCGCGGCGGCTGGGAAAGGCCGAGGGTCTTGCGGCCTAGTTGGTTGCTAAGGGGCGTTCTGCGCTCCTGGCGTAGTCGCTACGAGGGACTCCCCGCCGCCGTGAGAGGGCGGAGGGAAGGGGAAGCTATTCTCGAAACGCGGCTGCGCTGTCGTTAGTCTGCGCTAAGAGGGGAGGCGAAGGCAGAGGCAGGGGCCGTGGCGCCGGGCCCGCGGTGGGTGCCGCCCCTGGGAGGGGAAGGGACCATGTGTGGTGGGCCCTGACCCCGGCCCTGCCCTGGAGGCTTGAGGGGTTTGTGGTGAGGTGCAGCTTGTTCCCGCAAGGAAGCGGGCGAGGATGGCGGGTGTTTTCTGGGCCCCTAAAGCACCAAGCCCGTGAGTGGCCTGTCAACTACTGGGGCCTGAGGCCTCTTTAGATTGTCTCTGTCTCCCAAACTTCTAACAAGACACTCGGGGGTGAGGGGCTTCAAGCTGGGGCAGTTGGGAGCACGAGGAGATAGAGGGAGCTGTCATGTGCTATCGGGGTGACTACCGTGTGACCATGCACCCTCCCTGTTTCTGAGCAGTGGTCCTTGCCATGTGGTTGAAGACACCTCAGGGAAGAAGCTGCAAGGGAGCAAGGCCTGCACTGGTGTTTTGGGTAAAGGCTTTAGAGTGGGCTTATGTATGTTACTAGGCACAAGAGCCTTCGTGGTAGGGGGCCCCAGGCACACATTTCTTAGATTCTGTTCATGGAGCAGCTTGCAGGTGTAACTGGTGGTGGCTGTTGTAGAGAAGGAGACTCTCAGGCTCTTTGTGGCTTCTGGGCCTTAAAGGCTTGTGGGTAGGGATTGTTACTGGCTTTTTCCCCAGTTCAACAGCACATCACAGGTTGAGAATATGTGTGAGCCCTCTTGGCTTTGCTGTGTGTGACACCAGCATCTTTCTAGATGAAATAGTTTTGGGGCTTGAGCCTTGGCAGTGGTTGATAAAGACCCAGAGATTGCTTTCCTTTCTCAAAATTGCCAGTTTATGAAACGCCACTCGGAGACAGCCACACAATGTGAGCTTTCCTTGATACTTAGAGGATACCGAGAAGTTGTTTATGTTTGAAGCACATATGAATCCCTTCCTATGGTTTCCCTTTAGCTGCTAGCCCAACGTCTTGTCATCCAGTGATTCAGTATTGTTTCCGTAAATACTACGTTGACATGAATTGAAAGATGGGATGTCAGGTTTTGAGCTCTATTTTGCTGTGTCATATTATTATCTCATTAATGGCACAGACTTTAGAGAAATAATTATGGCTTCTGCTAGCAGGACTTTGGTTGTGCTGAAAATCCTTGTGTTGGGTTTTCAGGCCAATTCCGTCTTCACAGCTTGAAAGTTAAGAACAGATTCCTTGGAAGTCAGCAAGAATGAGTGCTGCAGAATGGCTGTGCACTGGACTCTGTCTACTGTGATATATGATTTTGTCTCCTGAGGAAATGAAGTTCTGTATTTTTCATTAAGAATAAGGTGATACTATGCTACTTAAGTTGCAGGAGGGATCAGGTGTACAGCCGAGCAGGTGCAGCATGTATAAGGACCACCACTTCCCCCTGCAGAGGAATGCAGGTCTATAAACAGCTACAGAAGAGGTTTGCTAGGTCAGAGGGTTTAAGTGAAGGGGAGGCTGCTTGAGTATCATAAGCTCCCAGGGATTTCAATGCTGTTAGGTTTGCTATGAACAGGGTTGTTTTTTTTTAGTAATTCTAGGATGTGCTTTTATGCTGGGTCCTATTTTCAAGTTTTCTTTAAACACCTCTAGTACTGAGTGCTGCTTTTAGTATTGGTTAGCACTGCCCTGGTCCTAGGGAGTTCAGTCATGGGTAACTCACAGAGTACTATTACAAGCTGGTTATGCAGGAACCTTGAGATATATCTGGAGGATGAATCCTTCAATTAATTTTAACTTCTTGGAAGGCTCAGATGATCTTCAGTTCTTTGAAATGGCATGCCAGATCTTACTAAGAGTACCTGAAAATCAAGCACTTGCATTCCCTGTGTGGAGTTCCAGCATCTGGGGGCAGTTGCAGGAGTTCTGCTCCAGCAGTGTAGACAGTTCTGGCAACAGATAAAAGACAAAGGCATATTGCTGTATCTTTGGGGTCTGAATAGCTGTACATCTCCAGAAGAACCAGCATGAGTGCATGTGTTGAGTTGTGGTACCGTTGTAAAATTTCTGCTTACCTGAAGAAGAGTTTAGTCTTTGTGGCAGCTTAAAGGTTTTAAATAACCCTGTCTCTTCTATACCACTTGCTCCTCATGCAGATCTCCAAGATCAAGAGCGGTCTTCAAGATTTCTGCTCTTGTAACTGAGATTTGTAGAGAGAGGTTGTGTTTTATTTAACTAGCAAATACGGGTTGGGGAGGGACTGAAGTAAGCTTCTGGGCATGCAGTTTTTCTTCATAGTAATTCTAAGTAAGAACTTGTCAGATTGCTCACTGGAGGTTAGATTTGAGCTGAGTAGGTATTTAAGCTAAAATATCTCTGGGTAAACAGAATGGTGATGAAGATGATGGATAGCTGGACCTTCTTGATAACTGTGCTTTCTTAGTGATACGGCATAAATCTTGAGTTTGTCAAGATTGGCTTTGACTTGCTCAAGAGCTGAAGCTTCTATTGCATATTCTGGATAACGTTGCATGAGGTGAACACTGTTTTTTCCTTTTAGGAGTTTTTTGTGCAATACTGTCCGCAGTTGAGAAAGCAACGGCTGGAACCGTTTATGGTAAATGTACTTAATGAAGTAGCATGCATGGTTCTAACATTAGATCTTAAACTGATGGTCCCTGGGAGGCTGGCAGAAGTTAAAAACTAGCCTAGGGAGTATTCACTGTTTAAAACAAAAAAAAAAACCCCATCTCAGAATAGTTTGATCATTTCTGCTGTTAAATGGCTTCTGATAAGCCATCTGCTAATGCTTTGTAAATAGAGATAAATTTGAGCCTGGAGTGTAAAATAGCTGTGAAACTTACCCCCCACCCCCACTTCTCCATTTTTTTTAAAGGGTGATTAACTTGAAAATGACACCATTCCTTTAAAATGTTGCTTCTATTAGGTGTATCTTCATATAATTGTAGTGAGAAGATGGGAGGGAACAGGCTTTACCTTGTATGTGAAACAACTGTTTGCACAGTCAGCTTGCTTATAAAACTTTTTATGCTGAAATAGAGTGGAAAATTTATTACTGCTTGCAAACTCTTGTGAGCAGCATGGAAAAGAGAAATTGTAGTATACCTGAAATGATTTGATTTTGGTTTTTAAAATTACCTATTTCTCATCCTGACTACGTACCTTTAAATATTGCCAGTTTGGTAATCTCGGGACACAGGTTTAAATAATTTTAAATGGAGTTGCTAATGTTGTCAAAGGAAGATGTGGACTTAATCCCAGACACTGGCTGTTATGCTGAAAAAACATATTCACAACATTGGCAATCTTTCATATTTGCCCTTTCTGGTAGATTCAGCTAATAGGGAGCTGCAGATGCAAGCAAAGTTAAGTATTTAAGGTATTGATTTAACTGTGCACTTGCAGAAGAGGAGAGAAATCGGATTTGATCAATGTTTCCGTATGCTTCATTCCTTTGGGGGGGAGCGATCACTAGGTTCACATGAGTGTGAATTACTGTATGTGAGGGACAGCAGAGCCTGACTTGGAAGGGTTCTCAAAGCACATTCTTAGAGTTAAAAATGTGCCGTTTCTTCTTTGAATCAGCAATAAGTAAATGCTTAATAGGATGCTGTGTCACTATTATGGAAGTATAGAGTGAGTTTAGATGGATGTGGTTCTTGGCACTTGTCCTACAAGTCTCTGTATGTCAGGCTGCCACTTTTTCTGTATAGTCATGTTTATTTAATGTATTGTTAATTTAATTTAATTCCTGTACTGCAACAAGACTTTGTCATGGGGATGGTAAAAAGATAGTCCCTATGCTGAAGATTTTTTGCTTCACTTGGTTGTAAGAGCAGCTGAAGCAAAGAGTTGAGCCCCATCTTTGTGACATAAGGTGAAAGGAGCTTTCTTGTTCCAAAAATGCATGGCAGCATATCACAGAAAAGTTAAGGCTTAAAAATGCCTTCTGCAGCTAAACTGCAGCTGAGCAGTAGCATAAAGGCTTTGGGGTTTTTGGTGAGTATAGTGATATTACAGTTGTGTCTGGTAGCCTGTGTCTATTTTGCCAGCTGTTGTACAGGCCCAGCAAGAGCAGTCTCTACTTGCTGCCTAAATAGCCGGGGTAAACAAGGATTGGGAGGGGAAAAAGAGGCAGAGAGATGTCAACAAGCTGCCCTCTGTGCAGCAGGTCAGTGTCAGAGCCAGGAATAGCAGAGGGTGCTTTAAGTCTTCGTGCAGTGCCTGCCTGCTGGACCACCTTGGACTGAAGAAATCGGAGAGGCAAAGAGCTCATTGCAAGGTGGTTCTTTATTTAAAGCATGGAAGAAAGGAATAAGGTTGCAGCTGGCCTAAACTTATTTCCCCTTAGTTACAAAGGAATTTTAGAGGTCAACTTAAAAGTTGCAGCCTAAATAGCCTGGCAGTATGCTCTTTGTAATATATTAATAGCTGTTGTCAAAATAGAGAAATGTTTCACTGGATGTCTTCTCTCTCTGTCTCCTGTCCTGCCTTGCCCACTAGGAACGTGGTATATTTTCCAGTTCAGAGAAACAGATTCATTAACTTACGAATTTATCATCTTTGAGTATTTAAGAGCTTGTGCAAGCAATTCTGTGAGTTAATAAAAGCTGTATTTTCTCCAGATCTTGGAAAAATATATACACCTGCAGGAGCAGGAAATGGCCAATCTATGCAAGTCAAATCCTAATGCAAACTGCAGCAATCACAAGAGACCTCTGCCTCCAGTGCTGGCGGGGGAGGGAGTGTGAATGCCTGTAAAGCTGCTTCAGTTTCCTTCATCTTTTAAAACTTGTTTTACCAAG